CTTAGTTCCTGTTTCCGGGGTGATGACGTTCCACCGTGTTGCGAAATTTGAAGAGCAGCATGCTGTTAAATCTGCTTAAAGTGGGTGGATGGTATTTTGGAATATCCTTTCAGCGAAAGAGATGAAATCGTTCGAAACCGTCTACACTGGTCTTAGCAACGAAACCGTATTGCAATCCTCCAAATCTCACATTGCTTTAATACATCGCTGAGGGAGCACAAAATTACCGCACGCTTTGTAAATCTCCAGCATCAATCAAAAGAGTTTCAATGAATGCATAAACGTGAGCGTAAAGCATAATCCCATCTTGTTGATTATATAAGCCATATGACCAGGCGATGTTAACCTATCATTAATAACCATGCCAGTATGCTTCACGTTTTTATCCCGGGTGATCGGTGCGTGGCTCGGATTAGTTTCTCCTTCCGTAAGGTTGACGAGGTCGCATTTCCATGTGTCCAAAGAAATAGAAACGCACTTCACACGCTTACCTATGTTAATGATAAATCCGACCAGTCTAACAGTTTCTCCCTCTGCGCCAGAACAGGAAAAGTACGACGGAAATGTCCTCTACCTCATTTCGTCAACTTTCTGGATGCTACTTTGTAAAACTTCTAATTTTCACGAACTATCAATGGTCCACGCCAGGGCTGCCACGGAGAACGACGGTTTTTATCATTACATGGTGCTAAACGGTCATGTTTAGCGTTGCCATCCAGACGAATCATTTACGACAGTTAGTCAGGTCCCGGATAATGGCATTTGAACATACACAGTGCAACATCACTGATTAGGATCTAATCAAGCGTGCTGTACGCGAGGTCGAATCCCATGCCCACGTTATCTTCCTCGATATTCTTTGAGTTTCCTCAAATCTTTCGTCATTCCATATTTTCATATCGTTCGTTGGAAGATCGCACCACATTTCCCTTGATATTTTACTTATTCTCCTAAATGATGAGCTCTTCCGTATTCCGTATTTCTTACGTAACTCGTCTGATCTTCTTTCCAAATGGTTCAGTCAACAACACCCTCTTTCACTTACCTTTTCTGAAAATGTGTTTATGGGTAAATTATGGGTAAGTTGATCTTTGTAGAGTTAAATTCCAGATATTGTCATTCTCATATTTCTAGGGCACTTGCATTTCTATGACGCTCAGCTTTCGGGCTGGTAACATACTCCAAAGATGTTACATTACATCATTCTCTTGAATCTGTGGAGATTCAGTCGTTACTGTAGGAGAAGACCCCAACATTAGAGAATTACAAGCTTTTCTGGCTAATCACTGTTAGTTTCTGTGGCTGACTGCTTGCGTGACGTTAATTCGTGTTTCTCAAGCAGATAGAAATTGGCTATCGCTCCTTGAAATGTTCCAGAATGCTTATTTGATTACGACATGTACTCCTATGCCACAATAATATTATTGGATACTCGGGTATTTTCTAGAGCCGTCTCTTCAATGGTAACATCCATGTTGTTAACGATGGCAGTAAGTAACATTCATGTTGGTTTAAACCATGGTTTACCAGTAAAGTCAATGCACATTTTGGCCCTTCGCTCTCTCAGAGCACTGGAAAGGTTCACTGTGTATCATGCTTTTAAATATTTCTATAAATCGATTTCAATTTAATCGGAATTTATTCCTTCTTTCATCGATTGATTATTTCATTGATACATTCACTCACTCACTAGCTCACTAACTTCATTCATTCATTTCCTAACACATAACTTGTTCATTCAATCATTTGTT